AAGGTGCAATTCCCCAAGGGAGTCAACTGGTCCTGCTGGCATGCCACTTGAGCCATTGAAGTCCAATGCAATGCATTGATATCAGCGCCGGGATTTCAATGACAGGTGGCTGGCACCGTCACAACTCAGTCATGATCTCCAGATTAGGAGAGAGCCGACAAGTTTGCAATCTACACTCTTCATGGCATTACTTATTCCATCTTCCTTAGAAATTGTACTTTCATTATCTTTCATTACAATTCATTATTAGTTCCCCATATTTCCCTTAGAACAGCCTAGATATCAAAATGTCAAGGTCAACCTGCACAGTTCGGAGCAGCTCGAGCCGCTGGAATCTATGGATTTAGCTGGGGTGCTCGAGCGCGGGCCTCAGAAAATTGCCACTCTGCTTGACTCAAATGATATCTATATATATGACATTCTCAGAATTTCAGAAATCACCCCCAAATTTCCAAAAATCATGATGTGCTATGGTTTTTGCCGCCAGGTGCGTTCCTTGGTGACGTTGTTGAAGCCACAGATGGCACAACAACATCAGGACGATCCGACGATCCGCACATCCATGGTCTGAATGCATTGGAATTCGGAGGAAGCAGCAAAGCATGTCGCTTTCCAGATTTTTCTATAGGGTTTCAGGGCCAAAAAAATCAAAAAACATAGCTGAAAGATAGTGAAGGAAACGACCAAGAGAACTTGACAAAGACCAAGGAGATCCAAATGATCCAAGGAGCACAACAGAGAAGGTTCAAGATTAAGATCACACCCTCTACACCCTCTACACCCTCTACATCCCTCTACATTCCTATACCATGTTGATCATGTCACATATGTCACGTGGGGCGATTTTCGGCTCAACATAGAGGCAGCCTGTGGTGCCGCTAAGACGTCCAGGAAGGATGTCGCCCTTGGCTTCGACGCCCAGACCCTGGGAAGGCCTTCAATAGGCAGAGTGCCATAGTGCCATGCCAGTCTCTTGACAAAGTGTTTCAGTATATTTCAGTCTCATGATATTCAACGCCATTCAAACATGTACTCGAATTAAATCATTTATAGCTAATTTATAGATACGAGAGAATAAGGGTGCCATATTTTTTCATCCAGCTTTCCATGCGGAAGCAAGGTCTTCGGCCTGCCATGGTTGCCCATATGCATCCACATTCTCAGCGCTTTCATTGTGAATCGCCCAGGCATCGAAGTTTGAAGCCTTCAACCGAGCGAATGGCTACTCCACACCCAGTAGTGAGGCGTCTGGCATCATGTCGCGATCGTTCCTGGCACCGCCCAAGAAACGTGATGGTGTGCGAGCGTATCAAATCGCTCCAATCCACTCTGGCATGTGTCATCCACCTCAATCAGAAGCAGTACGTCGCGATTTGTTGGAGCACCTTGGCGATGTCAAGAGAGTGATGCTTAGATAATATGCTTGCCATTGCTTACCACCTTATTCAGCTATAACATGCAGGTTTTAAATCACAGCTTCCAACAGCGATGTATTTTTGAGAAGCTGCGAGACATCGAGTTTCCGTCCGAGTCATAGTTCACAGGTTTTAGATTGTTCGCAATGTGTTTATATTCGCCTTCTACCTACTTATCACTGATTTTGCCACATCCGGTTTGCAGGATCGCTGGGTTGCCTGCACTTGACCGGGATCGGCATTTGAATCTGAATCGATTTGAATCTATCCACTGGTGGTTTGGAAGATACAGATGGGAAGATAATTACACAAGAATACTTCGTAATCATTCACAATCATAATATCCCTGAATACATTGCTGAGATCATCGGCAAGTACACAAACGCACATAAAGTACTGTACATATGATATGCACACGCACATGCACACACACATTATATGTATGTATAAATCAAATAGATCTTATCACACACATATTATATATAATTATACGGTATGTAATATGTATGATCATATATGTATGTATGTATTTTGCACATGCATTAGCACCTGTTTTTTTAAATCACACACACACACGATGCATTGGCCTTGGGTCATCGCTCATCGAGGTATTTTGCCGCCAACGGCATCACCAGATCTTCCGTGACGCGTTTGCCCTGCCGTTCCTTCAGCAGCGACTCCCGGCCTGCACCGCGCTGGCGGCCGAGTGGTTTGGCACCGGTGAGGAGCTCAAGCCTGCAACGAGGCTGCAATGGTGCCAGGCTGTAACTGAGAGTAACAGCTGTCACCGGAGCTGTAACAGCCGTAGCAGCCCACATGGCTGGGCGTTTTGTAGCGGATTGCTTTGTTTTCAGCTGCTGGCAGCTTGCCAGTACAATATGGTCCTCAAACTTATCATCAAACGATGTTCATATGTTTTGCCTGAGCAACGCATGCGTAAAGGTCAACGAGAAACATTTCAGTGCGAATTGGAAAGTGATTCATGGGACAGCTGGTTGTGCCAGCTTCCCCTGCAAACAGGGACTGCTGCTTGCTATGGCCGTCACGGCATGTCATGGCTTTTGCAGGCAGTTACAATTGCTAAGTACAACACAAAAGGCCAGCAGTTCCTCCCTGGTAGCCAGTAAGCACATGGATGACTTCTAGGATATTCGGACATCAATGTGAAAAAACACATACATGTATATATATATATATATTTATAATGTTCATTTGAAAATGTAGGACTTGTGGAAACATTCCCTTGGACAAACGGCTTGAGGATGCCATTGGGAGCTGCTGCGGAACCTCCAAAGATGCCCATCAAGACGTCCATCATCCGTTTCAAGAAGCAAGTGTCGTGGCAGACGGTATGGAAATCCATGCAAGCTGGCGGGTGGGTTAGCAGATGCAGAGACAGCACGCTGATATTGCGCATTGAAACAAAAGAGGGTTCCACATCCCACCACAACCACCCCCTTTTCTCAAAGTCTTTGAGGTGCAGAAGAGGCAGTTGCCTTTCGTAGTCTAGGGCCAGCAGGGACGACAGGCCAGGGGCTGACCGTCGGCTGACCATGACCTTGCCAAGCCCCGCATTCGGAATGCCATTAGGGACATGTAGTCGTTGGTCGATTTGGCGAAGTGCGTCGTAATTTGACCTTTTCTAGGCAAGCCACGGTTTCACGTGCTTGCTTATTTTGATTTATTTTGCCCATGACGCCTCTCATCCCTGTAGCACAATTTGCCTTATTTTCTCGCCTTTGCGTCGCCCCAAATATAGCCTGCCATGCACTATTTTGCGATTTTTGCGGCAAAACTTGAACACAAGGTTTGAATCCAAACGCACTGAAGTGGCGCCTGAGCTGGATAGGTCCACAACACAGTCTTGGCGACAGATCAGCATCCTGCAATGATACTGATTAGTCTGGCTGTCGATGTGAGCCCAACTTGATCCTTTTTGTTTCCTCAAGCGGGAAGCAGGTGGACACTTAGTGAGCCGGGTTCTAGGTTGGATCGTGGCAAAGCCAGGTCAATGCTAGCGCCTGATGAAAGATAATGAAAGACAGCATTCTTAGGCCACTTTTCATTCATCTGAAAGTGGACATATTTGGTGAAATTCTGTTCTTTTTGTGCATTTTGGTTTCAGTGTCAAAGATCAGACTTTGCAGTCAGCCCCTGGCTAAGCCATACCTGAGTTCGAGTCGACCGAAAAAGTGCAGCCGCAAGATTTCAGTCGCCACATACACCAAGCGCATCCAACCGCCCACAGCCAGTGCCATTGAAGGAGTTGTGGCTCGGTGATGAGGGCACCGTCGCATTCCCAGATATTCCCAGTCTTACGAGAGCAGAGGGCAGCGTTTCGCGGATGAGAAATGCATTTTCCTTGTTTTATGTTTCATCCATGTTTAGATTTTCATCACTTTCCCCTCAGTCTCCCCTCACTTTCCCTTGTCAGTTTCGGGCTGCTCATTGGTTATTGGTGCAGAGCGATTGGGCGTGGTACTGCGTTGCAACGTTGTCGTTGTTCTGTTTCATGCTGTCATGTGCTGCAGGTGATCGGGCCATCCGTAGTGAAAGGAAAGATTGCGGTGCGTCATGGCCCCAGTGGACATGGCGGCCTCCACTGGTGGAAATCATAGTTATAATAAGTTATAAGTTATATAAGTTATATAATTTATATAAGTTATATAAGTTATAAGGTATAAGATGTATTAAGATGTTATAAGTTATAAGTTGTAAGTTGATCCATGCTGATCCCAGCTTTTGGAGGGTCAAACAGTTTCCAACTTGGCCCTTGGAAGCTTATTTCCAAAGGTTTAGATAATTTAGGTGGTACTGTACGCCTGGACCACCGAACTGAACTGTGAAGACTGAAAAGTTTGAAAAGAAATGAGCGGAAGAGCAGAGCAAACGATGTCAGACCTTTGCTTAGCTTTGTTACACGATGTGTATCAAACACTTTTGTGAGTTGAGAAATGCTCCGTACCCTGGCGCCCTGGCGCCCTGGCCAGGCTTCGACAACTGCATCGGTGAGTGGAGCATTTGGCCCAGCCTCATTTGCAAGACAGAGGCCCGGGAGATGGCCTGACATGCCCTGACTATCCTTGACTTATTACGTCATATCACATCCTATTATCATAAGATATCTCAGACAGACATTCAAAAAGAGCATATGCTTTATCAAACTTTATCTTATGCTTATCATATACTCATCATGTAATTAATTATCACACAGAGATAGAATGTTGCAATATAATATAATATTTAAAGTATATAATATTTATTATATGATATTTGCATAGAATATATTTATATAGAATATATTTATATAATGTATTTTTCACGAGTATCATTAGTATCATATCCAAACAAGATTGTGGGGATGCCGTTGAACCAACCTCCGCAGGTCTACACCGAGGCGATGCAGGAGAAAATCCATGGTTTTACTCGCGGTGATCGAGTGGGCTGGCTGCAGATTCACGGAGCAAAAGTTTGTGAAACATCATTTTCACATCATTTTCACGTCATTTTCACCGATCCTTGGCCGACTCTGTGCCATGCTGTGCCAAGGTTCGAAGTCTCGGGCAAATTTTTGGAGCTCGCTCCTTCGACGTCTCTTGGCTTCTGGTGCACAATTTTTCATATTGTTCCAGGGGATGACTTCACATGACTTCAAAAATCTTCCAAGCACCATTCAGATCAGAGATGGTCAGAGTGTCTATGTGAAATGTGAGCCGAAGGTTTCTCTAGGTCCGCTTTGTTACTATGGTTGCTATGGTTTCTCACTTCGCCAGAACAGTTCCAGATGTGGCAAGTCATTTGAGGAGACGCGCCTGGCCATAGCGGAAAAAGAGGAAGGAACCGTTGCGGGGATCCCAATGGATCCCAAGGATCCAGGTCGAGTGACATGAATCAATGTGAATCGATGTGAATGCGTAAGTGGAAGGATATGGAAGGTACTTTGACGGTACTTTGGAAATGAGTCTCATACAGCCACTTTGGCTAAGGACTGCGTAAGAATCAGACAGTCTTAGATTCCTAGTCCTGACTTCTTGTGCAAAAGAAGCCTACAGAAACAGTTGACTCAGTGGTGAAGCAGCTTGTGCTAAGATTGGACCCGGTCACTCAAACGGCAAGGTGCTGCAAAGTGCTGAACAGTGGGGTTATGAGAGTCTCTTCGTGAATGTTCCATCTGAAATCTGAAATGTGCAGCACGCCATCACTACTTTTCAGAGCTACATGTCCGGAAACAAAGAGTTGAGAAGCTTTCCGCGTAATTCCACAATCCAGTGGGAGAAAATTGGCAGGAATCCGGATCAAAACCTGTTAGAGACCTCCTACTCCAAGTTCAGTTCTTCTCACCATGTCCCAAGATGTGACTGCTGCCCTCCAAGCTTTGACAGGTCCTCGTGCATTTCGATGCTGACGAGAGGATTTGGAGTTTAAATCCCAAACAGTTGGTGGGCAGCTCAGTATAGCTCAGTGCGATTCAGTTTGCCAATTTTGGGCAAATTTCCTGGGTGTTTCGCACTGGGAGGATTCAGCCCTTAAGGTGATGTAGTAGGAGTATGCAGGAGCTAAAGCAAACACCCATAGTTTGAAGAACGTTAAACTAAGCCCTAGCATTTGACTGAGCAGAGATTTTCTATGATTTTCTTGCACCTTCGGTAAATCTGTGTTTCGTTGAGAACCTCCAAGGAACCAGCCTCATGATGTGAAGATTGTTTTCCAGGTGCCTGCTGTGAAATGTTTGGCTGACCTCAACAGACCTCAACAAATCCAACGGTATTTGCAGCACATCCAATTGTTGAAATATCTGGAGCTTCTTGAACACATTGGATGATTCGGAAACACACCGCAACAGACTGGAATACCCCGATGGACGTTCAGCAACCGTTGTGAGGCGCTTCGCATCCGCTGTGATGTTTGCCTGGGCCCCCTTTTTAATTTCCGTCACATGACTTGGCAAAGTTGAGTAGTGCTTCGGTTGTTGGATCTTGCACCGCCCTTTCACGTCATTTCCCTAGAGTTCCATGGATATTCCTGAAGGAACGCTGCGCAAAATGATGTCAAATGTGGAGTCAAATGTTGTCACTGCCCATTGCTCAACGCTTGCCGTCAAGTGCTGAGACTGCGAAGCAGCAGCGCTTTGATTTGAATCAGATTGACTTCCTGGACTTAGTTATGTCATGTTATGTCATGTTATGTCATGTTATGTCATGTTATGTCCAGATGCAAGGGAGCCTTATGGAGCCTTGAATATGCCCTGAATTTCATTCCATCGAGCAACGGTCACGTCCACCAGGATAGGCTCTCCACTATGCAGTTCGCTATGTTCGCTGGAGGGTCCTTGAGTCTGGTGATGTTTGGTGCGTCTCATGATGTCTCATGCTTCCCGCTGGGAGAAAGCTCGGGAGTCAACTGACGTGTTGAGTGAACGCTTAGGGAGGGGGTGCTGCAAGACGGGCCCACAGTCCATCACCCGGTTGCTGAAACATGCGCAGACATCGTGCACGGGCAATTATTCCCAGCCTGGGCAGCTGCTTTATTCTTGGTGAATTGATTCTCAATCTGGAAGCTTGTTCTAACACAGTTAAGTGTTATGATGTGTTATGATGTGGTATGATGTGTTATGTGTTGATACAGTCCGGAACATTCAAATGTTTGTAGAACAGAGTACTGTAGCAATCTGTAGCAGCTGTGAGCTGTGGCCCTGGCTCTGCCATCTTTGGTCAAACCAACATCGTTGGCATTTCAGAAGGCGTTGCGGCGTTGCCCACAAGCTTTGTGTGTCCCACGGAGATCCGTCATATTCCGTCATCAAGTCATCAAGGCATCAAGGCACTGCGGGTGAGTCATGGTGAGTCATGCGAGTTGCAAACCAGAAATGGGACGCACTTCGGATTTTGTGATAGTGACTGACAGTGTGTCTTTTTGGGCCAGGCACAAGGCAGGCACAATCACAAAGAAGAACCATAAGAACCGCTCAAAGGGAACAATATGGAACAAACATTGCAGCAGAAAGACACCATTTTCATTGCGTTCAGCAGGCAGGACGTATCACCTGAACTGATCGGGGGCCGTGCAGTCGGCTGAATGGGATGAAGGAAGGACTTTGTTGGAATTGGGCTCCCGTTTTCTCTCCATCGCTTTACCAAAATCTGTGAATCCCATCGGTGGTCATGGGCTTGCATGATGAGGAGATAGTTTTTTTTGCATGGTCATCCCCACACCAGATTTTGGCAGTCTACTTTGACTACGGTGTAGGTGATGAAATAGTTGTAAGATGTTGTAAGCCCTAGTCCATCTCGGACCGTGCTTTCTGCTACACTTTATGCTAGTTGGTTGCATCCACATTTTACGGCATGCGCTGTGTAAGCATGTGTAAGCATGTGTAAGCATGTGTAAGCGCAACCCCTCATGAGTCAGTTGTTTTGAGCACCTCCACCATGTCCATTTTGTGACCATTTCGTGACTATTTCGTGACCATTTTGAATGTTAAGAACCTGCATGGCCTCTGGATCAACTCCCCGGCATCCAATTTGTACAGTCTGCCTGCCGACTGTCCATGGGGGCGCGGCATGGCACGCATCCAAGTGGAAGAGAGAAGATGCTGATCCTGGGTGGATCATGGATTCACAATTGACAATGGATTCACAATTAAGTCACTCAATAGTCACTCAATAGTGACTTAATAGACACAGCATGCCTTACGCCGTGGGCCCTAGCAGCTGTAGCATGCCATGCTGGGTATAAGCTGATAAACTGGGCTAGTTCACAAATGATCAGTACCGATCAGTATCGATCAGTACTAGAAGTACTAGAACCTGATTTAATGATTTAATCTGGCTTGGCTTCGAATCGTTTCTGTGCGGCCGTTTTGTTCAATGCTAATGTCTCCAAGTCCCAAGACAAGGGATGAGAAGTGACCAGAATCTTGTCTCATTTCTTTCTACTCATCTGTTGAAATCCCGTGGTATGCCGACAGGATCCCGTGGTAGCCCGTGGTAGTTTCATTAGGCCTTTTGGCTGAAGCAAACCTGAAGCTTTGGTCACAGACATCCTTAGACTTGGACACAGGCGCGCACACAATTTGAAAGAAAGGGCTTCGGTTTTGTAAACAGATGAATCTTGCAAAATCCTTTCAAGCTTAGCTTGTCCTGTTGACCTCGACCTCTTTGATGGCGCTGCGTGTATCACGTGCTTCAGCGCCAGAGCCGGTGAGAGCTTGGACATTGCCGTCCGGTGTGCATGTGTGGCTCGAATGCAGCTAACATTGGCTGACATTTGATGATGGAATCGATTCGAATCGATTGCTGCTTCAGTGCTGTCGTCATGACTGAGGTCCCTTCTTCGAGACGGAGATGGAAAACACTTTGCACAAAGGCAACTGGATGATGTTGAAGGAATTTCATAGATTTGATTTAGATGTGATGGTACGTGAGGATATGAATGCATCCCTTTGACATGATGCAGGTGAATTATGATGTCTTACAACTGACACGATATACCTTACACCATACAGGTCACACCTACATACGTCGATATCCATTCAATTCTTTTTCACGTATATAATTGTATATATATATACACGCATATCATATAAAAAATATAATAGTAATATAATGTTACAGGTTGTATGCACATACATATATAGATCATTATAAATATTAATATATATATATATTATCTATATATGTGCGTACGCCACACATATCCAATAGATCCGGTGGCCAAGGTCTGTGACGGCTCACCTGGTGGGGCGACTGCCCAACGGTTGCATCTTCGAAAGCACCGAGGGCAAAGGCGGAGATCCCATGGCGATGGTGCTTTCGAAAGGGGCGGTGATCCCAGGTATGGACTTGGCCATGCAGGACAGGGGGAAGATATGGGGAAGATATGATAGATATGGGGATGGGAAATCGAGGAAATTTATACGGTAATCACATTTAAATATGTGGTGGCCGGGCCAGGGCAGTCAGGCTCGGAGGTAGTATGAAATACCAGTTCTGTACGTATGTTTAAATGGTAGGGCCCACTCCGCATGTTTAAAAAATTGCAAGCCACAGTGAATATATGCAGGTAAATGGTCCAAATATATGGTGCTGATGATTTGGAACACTCTATGAGTCGAGTTTTTAAAGTTAGACGCAAAACAATGGTATTGAGAGCGGCCTGTGGGATTGCGACACAATCATCAGAGAAATGGTTGTACTGTACTATACGATTTTGGCTTTGGTGGAAATTCCTTTCATTAAAAATTCGAACTGGGTGGAAGCGCCTGGCTAGAAATTGCTTGCTTCTCTCTTTCTTGCAAGAAATGTCCTAGGTGGAGTTCCTGGGTGGAAGTTCCTTGCTTCTTGGGTGGAATTCCTAGATGAATCCCCTAGGTGGAATTTCGCGGGTGGTGGTGGAAGTTGCTTGTTTCCCGCTTTCTGCGGAAAAAAAACCTAGGTGTGATTTCTTGGGTGGGATATCCTGGCTGGCAATTCCTTGCTTTCCTTTGTCTTGGGGAAAAATTGCCTAGGTGGACTTACCTGGCTAGAAATTGCTGGCATCTTTCTTCCTCAGCAAGACTCCCCTGGGTGGTGTTTTGTGAGTGGAAATTCCTTAGTTTCCCGTTGTCTGGTTGCAAGTTACTTAGGTGGAGTTTCCTGGGTGGAAGTTCCTTGCAGTGCTCCTGCTCCTTCTTGGAATTCCCTTTTTGGAATTTAAGGGATTTGCTGGCTTCCCTCTGTCTGCAGAGAAATTCCCTAGGCCCTAGGTGGAGCTTCTTGAGTGGGGTATTCTAGCTGGCAATTCCTTGCTTTCCTATGTCTCGGGGATAAATTGCCTAGGTGGACTTACCTGGCTAGAAATTGCTGGAATCTTTCTTCCTCAGCAAGACTTTCCTGGGTGGAGTTTTGTGAGTGGAAATTCCTTAGTTTCCCGTTGCCTGGTTGCAAGTTACTTAGGTGGAGTTTCCTGGGTGGAAGTTCCTTGCAGTGCTCCTGCTCCTTCTTGGAATTCCCTTTTTGATTCCTTTTTGGAATTTAAGGGATTTGCTGGCTTGCCTCTTTCTCCAGAGAAATTTCCTAGGTGTGATTTCTTGGGTGGGGTATCCTGGCTGGCAATTCCTTGCTTTCCTTTGTCTTGGGGAAAAATTGCCTAGGTGGACTTACCTGGCTAGAAAGTGCTGGATTTTTTCTTCCTCAGCAAGACTTACCTGGGTGTAGTTTTGTGAGTGGAAATTCCTTAGTTTCCCGTTGTGTGGTTGCAAGTTACTTAGGTGGAGTTTCCTGGGTGGAAGTTCCTTGCAGTGCTCCTGCTCCTTCTTGGAATTCCCTTTGTGGAATTTAAGGGATTTGCTGGCTTGCCTCTTTCTGCAGAGAAATTTCCTAGGTGGAGTTTCTGGGTGGGGCATCCTGGCTGGCAATTCTTTCCTTTTCTTTGTGTTGGGAACCAAATCCTAGGTGGAGTTTCCTGGGTGGGACATCCTGGCAGCTTGGCGTCGTTATGGTGAAAATTTTCCGATAGGTGGAATTACCTGGCTAGAAATTGCTGGCGTCTTTCTTCATCGCCCAGACTCACTTGGAAAGGACCCTCGGGACACCGAGATGTTTCAAAACAATTGCTGGAAAGACCAAAAATGTGAAGCGCCGTACGGTGGCACAGAGGCTATATGTATCAGAGGATTAATGACTGCTATGTGTTCTTTATAGCCATTTAGAACAACCATAAGTGGGCCCTTGTTGCGCGATACTGGTGATATAAAATATCTTGGTGGAAACTTATGTGGAATCCTATGTGTAATTCTATGTGGAAGGGAATTCACACTCAGCCGAGTCACTTCAGGGTATTCAAATTCCTTGGCAAACTGCGGAAATGAAGTTGTTGGAAAACTACGCAAAATCCCTGGTGGAAAACCATGGAAAAGCATTGGTGGAAAACCATGGAAACACCTTGTCAAAGGCACGTAAAAAACGGTGGAACATCATGCAACATTATTTTGGGCGGAAACCTATGGACACACCATGGTGGAAAACCATGGAGCACTCTGATTGGGAAACCCATGGAAAACTTTTGGTGGAAAACAACGGAAAAGCATTGGTGGACAACAAAGGAAAACTGCTGTTGGAAAACCGCAGACAAAATGATGGAAAACTTGGAAAACCATTGACAACATCTGGTGGAAAGCCACGGAGAAACAATATCCACTGACTTTTGATTAGGGGCTTGCCGGTACCCTTGCACCATGCGCCAAGTCACATCTGGATATTGGCATTCCTCGATTGGCTCCTTGCCAACCGCTGTTTCTTCAGCTGGCGCCTGTCTATGCTTTGAGCATGCAACCCCAATTGCATGACATTTTCTTGCAAGATTTTCACAACCGGTCCAAACTTTGGTTCGGCCATGCTTAGAGGAGTGGGGGCCTGACAGCCCCAAAAAAGTATTGGGTCTACAGTATATAAGTCTAATCATGATTATCTGTAAATGAAAAAAGCCTGCCCCCAATCTAGGCTCAAAAAAATGTCGCGTGGGCCACCCTTGCGCCGTGTGACTTCTGGCGCCGTACCCACTGCAGCAGGCGTCTCCACTGCATCCTGATGGCAGCCATAGAACTCTTCGCAATCACAACTTGAAGCTAAAAGTGTATGGTTGCACCCTTGTCCTTTGGTGGAAACATCTTCTAGGTGGAAATGTCTTGGGTGGACCTGTGGGCCCCGCTTTGGTGCTGCCGACCCTGCCCCATAAATGCTGAAATTGTTTCACGAATCAAAAAGGCTTGAACCCTGACTGCTCATTGTATTCTACAACAATGAAAACTTTCATGTTGCAAGACTTTGAAAACCGGTCCGAACTTTTGGTTCGGCCATGCGTTGAGGAGTGGGGGCCTAACAGCCCGAAAAAAACATACGTACGTATTGGATCTAATAATTACGGTTTTTGTAGGTGGGAAAAGTCTGCCCTCTAAGCCATAGAAAAACCGTCGGACGTCCTTGCGTCATGTCACTTCTGGAGCCGTCTTAGCTGCAGCAGGCGTCTCCATTGCAGCGGGCTTATCAGCCATAGAACTCTTCGCAATCGCCTCTTGAAGCTAAAAGTGTGTGGAAACATGTTCTAGGTGGAAATTTCTTAGGTGGACCTGTGGGCTCCGCTTTGGTGCTGCCGATCCTGCCCCATAAATGCTGAAATTGTTTCACGAATCAAAAAGGCTTGAACCCTGACTGCTCATTGTATTCTAAAACAATGAACACTTTCATGTTGCAAGACTTTGAAAACCGGTCCGAACTTTTGGTCGGCCATGCGTTGAGGAGTGGGGGCCTAACAGCCCAAAAAAAAGTATTGGATCTAATCACATATCCCTGTAGGCGGCAAGAAAAAAAACGTCTGCCCGCAATCAAGGTCCTAGAAATACCGCCTTGAAGGCCGGGTCACTTCTGCAGGCGTCTTCCCTGCAGCAGGCCCATCGGGCTTAGAGCTCTTTGTAGTCGCCTGCTGAAGCGCAAACTGTCTGGTTGAACCTGATTCCTCTGGTGGTAACTGCTTTGTGGTGGAAAAGTTCTTAGGTGGAGGATACACAACCGAACAGCCCTGAAAGTAGAGTTCGCAAGTTATTTGGAAAATCAGCCCCCCAAAAAAACAGCAGAAGTCGGGTAAAAACTAAATGTTTTTTGTCGGACCTCGTTCGGTTAAAAGGCCACAAACGGTTTCGAAAAGTATTTACGGTACATTTTGTATGGTTCATTTTATGTTTTTTATTTATTTTTTGTGTTTTTTGAGATTTGTTTCCTCCCACATCGCCGTAATAAAATCATAAAAAAATAATAAAACAATAATGTAATTTTCATAAATGCTGATGATTTTTCAATGAAAATTGTTACGTATGATTTTTCATTGTTTTCCACAAAAAAGAAATCATGAAATTTTCAGTCAATAATAATGTATTTAAAAAACATAAATGTGTGTAACATTTGTTTTTTTAAATGATTTTTTAATGTTTTCGAAAAATATTATGAATTTATTATGGCGACGTCGGCGGAAAAAAAATAAACAACATCGACAAAATAAGCTAAAACAAATCAAAAAATAATCAAAACAAAATCATACATCCAAAAATACAATTTTCCAATTCATAAATCCAAATCACGAACAAATCATTATAAAGATTTTACGTAAAAGAAAAATACTTTAAAAACTGTTTTTTTTTAAGCATTCCGCAAACTCTCAACAATAGCAAAAACAGGTAAAGCGAGGGCGTTTTTACCGGATCTTGTTCCGGAAACGGGCCGGCAAAGCTGTTTAGGAAAATATTTTTTGGATATTTTTGGCTGTTTTTCCAAAAACGCGTTTTTATGGCTGTGTTAAATATAGGAAAACGCAGGTAAAATGACAAAGTTTTTTCCGGAACTTGTTCCGGAAAACGGTGGGCCAAGCCGGCAAGCAAAGGAGGAATCGTCAAAATTCAAAATCTCGCAATTTTTTGGACTTGCCAAAAGTAGCAAAATCATGGGTTTTTGCTGCGTTCTTGTTCGGTACAGAAGAAGCAAAAGTCGCAAAATGAAAGTTCAAATTCGAACGGGCATCGTTTTCTAACAGGAAACAAATCTTACCTTGTATAGAACCTTAAGGATTTCTGAAGGTTCGAATAGATTGCCGCGCAAAACTATGTTTGATGGTTCTATTTTCGAGTTCCCTCCTGCTAAAAACACTGCGATTTTGCCTGTGTTTGGCTTTGTTTCCCGTATGTAAAAGAAAAACGGCGGTAAAAAGCCAAAAATATTAAACACAGCCAAAAATTTCCCGTATTGGCATTTTACCTGCGTTTTCCTATATTTAACACAGCCATAAAAACGCGTTTTTGGAAAAACAGCCAAAAATATCCAAAAAATAT